GTGTACCCAAAAGCTCAGAGAGAGGACAGCCAACTAACTGTTCAGCAGTTCAGAAAGAAGTTTCAGGACTTCCTAAAAGACAGGAGCAGGTCATTCAACTCCTTCCTTTTTCCTTCACACTTCGACTCATCACAACCCCAGGCTTAGGAACCAGCTCACCCCTCCTTCCATCTACCTTTTTATAGTCAGACCTCAATCCTTGTTCCAAAAATAAATCCTCCTAAGATGATGAGAGGCAACAGAAGCAAAGCGAAAAGGTTTTACACTTGTATTGTTTTGTTATGGGACATTAGTTGGACAGAATTATTATCATGTTTTTATAAATTTCCTTAAAACAAATAATTTTGGGATATACCCAAATTACTCCAGCTTCTTGGCCCAATATGTTTTTGCAATTACTTGGCAGTCCAACTCTGTGCTACTTAAATTAGTTGATAGTCACCAAGTTATTTTTAGGCCATAGCAACACACACACACACACACACACACACACACACACACACACACACACACACACACACACTACTATACCTAGCTTGTTATCTGTACTCCTTAGGAGCCAAATTTGCCTTTATACTGGTGCTATCATTTCTTTTCAATCAATATTAATAATAACATCCTACTATATTTATGAAATGCTTACCACGTATGTGTGTAAAGTTCTGAACACTTTACACACAATTCTTTTATTTCAGAAACTAACACTTTGAGATACCTATTGTTATATCCTCTTTTTGTGAATGAGGTAACCAAGGAACTGAGAGATTAAGCAACTTGCCCAGGGGCACATACCTAGTAAGAGGGGAGCCAAGGCTAGAATTCAAGCTGACTAGATCCAAAGTTCTGTCTTCATTTCTCCATCATTTGCTACAAGGCTGATGTTTCGCATTTTAGCCTTGAATGTTAACCAGAGGTTCAGAATAACAACAGCAAGTTTGTCAATGTAGATGTCTTCATTTCAGATATCTTTTGTAAAGTCCTCATAACATCTCTGAGTGACAAGGGGAGACTTTTATTCCCTTCCCCACCCCATCCCCCCAAAAAGGGAAGAAACAATATTTTTCACAAGGTCTCTGATTTCTGAGCCTAGCCATCCACTTTCCCATAGAACTCTACGTTGCCAACAAGGTTATATTTCTGAATCCCTTTCCACTAGGAAGTGTGCAATCTATGGTACTCAATTCCCAGGAGTGATGAAGTTTTATAGCATAAAGGCCTAACTCCCTGCATGATCAAATCCTCCCATGGATCATCCACTTAAACCATTTCCCTCTTCTCTCATTCCACAGTAAAGGCCTTTGGAAGAGAACAGGGCTATAAAGATTGTAGCAGTTGGTCAGTGTTTGTTTTACAACGGCATAGAGCAAGTACAGGCATGGGCTGTGACATGTCAGGGAGGAAGGGCGAGACACAGACCCCAAGGAGGCACCTGAAGCCGTCCCACTCTCAGGGAGGGAAGCTCCTCAGCAGACCTGACTGCCAGTCAGTCACAGAGGGATTTCAAGTTGAAAAGCACTTAAAAATGGGTACATGACACTGAAGTATTTAGGAGTAAAAATGTTGTTCATATTATACTATACTATATAATATTTCCAGCTTTATTAAACTTGAAACATTAAGTTTAAATATTAAACATACTTAAATACATTAAAATGTAATCTATAGCATATTTTTAAATATTTCAACAGAAAAGATAAAGCAAATAGGAAAAATATAATTGTTTAATCTGGTTGATAGGTATATGGGTGTTCATTACACACTTTTCTGCTCTTCTATATGCTTGAAAATGCTCATAAAATTTTTAAAGGCATATACTATCTTTGAGAAGAGGGGGCAGTAGACTATCTTTTCCTACCCAGGTAAATGACTAATTATTTCCCTGGACCCAGCTTTGCTGAAAAGAAAAGGAGCCCCAAGAACTTTAGAGCAAAAATGGTAGCTCTCATTTTCAATGGTCTAGAATTGTTTAGCTTTCTTATTCAGTTTGACTAGAAACCAAGTTTTAGTTGATTAAAAATCAACTTTGGGTAAAACAAATTATAATTCTTTCAAAGACCTCATAATCCCTAAATACTTATTCATTTGGATCATTTTCACCAAGTTAAAGAGAAGCACAGAAGATGAGACTAAAATACAGATTCTAACACAGGTCACAATAGGGAGGGCACTGTAAATTAGAACAGTAACTTAATCCCAGGGGCTGCCATGCCTCTGATCGGTTTCTTCCCAACCTGACACAGCATTACTAAAATGGCAAGTTAGCAGCCGCTCTGCTTGACAGACAGCACCAAAAATGGAGAGCATGGCATGGAGACAAGGGGACAAGGAGCTTGGATAGGGTGGGTAGCAACCAGTGTTTACAAACATAAACCGTAGCATCAGATGGGGCAGCCATAAATTACCCAAGATTGTACTGAAATCTCTGAAAATAAATTAACAAGCCCTTAGAAGTTTCCTCCTTATGTTCTAACCATGCCCCCCCAACCAAATTCCCTGCAAAAATTACTCATTCCAAAATGGTACCACTACCACTCTTGCTGAAATATAATCTTATCACCAAGGAAGAGGATTACTCAAATAAATCTGAGAGAAGCCAGACCAGAATGATCTGCTTGATCCACTCAAGAACCTAGGAGAAGTCTGCTGGTCATGCCTGTGGGGAATGCCCACCCTGTCCTTCATCACAATGGTGCTATGGTATTAATCTCTGGTTTACCAAGTTCAAAGGATAATGAAGGGCATTCTAATATTGGCCCATTCCTTTCCCTTCTTTTCCATCTTGGTCCCAATTTTAGGCCATTCTCCCAAAAATGCCAAAATGACAATGATAATTGTAAAGTAGATTACAGATCCTTTCACTCCTGAACTACATATTTTCAACCAAATTCCCAGATATTTGAAGAAAAGGTCCCAAAAGCTACAAATAATCTAACCTCTACCACCAGAGCGTCTTCCAAGTCGACCGCCGCCGTGTCTCGCCAACTCGAAAATGACGAGGCCTCACAGCGGCTGCCCAGGGCGCCTAGTGGTGAGGTCAGCGGTGTGTCTGGCCCCGCCCCATTGAGGCAATCTTACTCTCTGACGTTGAGGAACAAGCCCAGGCTGTCCGGCTCCTCAGCTGCATCCACAGGAAAGGGAGAGAGGCACCCCACTTTCACCAGTAGCACCCAGGAAATTCACTTCTCAGTGACTGACGGGTCACCCCTATACACAGCTCCACTCTCTGCAAATTAGAGTAGGGTCTGCACCTCCTCCTAGTCACCCCCATGTTCAGGTCTAGGGGCATCTTGACCTGTGTTGTTTCCCCTCCACAGATCATGGAGACACAAAAGACTTGCTTTTTATCTTGAATCCCTGCACTGCCTGAGAAAAGAGGAGATCATCAAGATCATTGGCTATCCTCCTCTTTGCTCCCCAAGACAAACTATTACAATTGGGGAATTTCTAGGTGGGACTTTCTCATTTGTAAGAGGCTAGACATGCCAAGATTATGGTAAGACAATAGCAGGGTTAGGGAATCACTCAAAGTCAACCAAACAAGAATACAGAAACAAAATACAGAGCTACACAGAAGAAATCTGCACATATCTGTGACCCCAAGAACCCACCACCACCATCACCAAGAAATGCCTAGGTGCTTCTGGAACTCTCTGCATACAATTCCATGATGTTCTCCTTCCCAGCAAAGCCCACCAGACCAAGGGAGAAATGTGCCTTTGTGGTAGTGGAGCCCCATGAGGGCTAGCTTGAGGGGAGTGGATGGTGGGAAGAGGAGATTGTGTCAGTGGAATTCAGAACTATATTTCCCAGAATGCTGCTTAACAAAAGGCGGAATGCCTCACTGGGAAGACAAGAAGGAGAATGGCAGAGCTGTCCCATAGAGACAAAATAACTAGCTTGCTCACCCACATGGCCTATTGCAATTTAAATATGCAATGTGTTCAAACTCAGCAACACCTTTGGTCAACACACTTTAGGAGACTGGCTGGAGATGTGACCCAGAAAATGTGTACCTTGGCTCAAAACACAAAAGGAGAGAAGAAAGAAGATGACTATCTCTCACAACCACCACCAGGTAAAAGATGCTGAATGAAAGTGATGTACAGTGCCCCAAAGGACTGTATCTAAGGGCAAAGAGAATCAGGCTGGGCACAAGATGCAGGCTACTTTGAAAGGTAAGGCAACACTGTATGGAAAGTGCTCCAAGAAGAGTGGGTGAGTAGTTCCTCCTGCTGGAGCTCAGTTCCACTAATCACAGAGTTATTCTGTATTCAGTATACTGGGACATGTGACACATTACTCCATCTTGGGAGGAGCCATGATGCCAAGTGTTGTCAGGTGAGGCCAGAAAGAACAATGAGTCGGGGAGTGTTTCATAAAAATGTCTCTGTTCCCTTGGAGCCTCGGCAGAGGAATGGATGTAGTTGGTGAACTTACACTTTTTATGGGGCCTTAGAATAAGCTCTGCCCTTCTTCAAGGTCACTTTATAAACCACATAAAAGTCAAGCTGGTCAGAAAGGTGAGAAAGAGGAAGAATTTCCCACAAAAAGAACTGGTATCTGTAGGTTTACTTGTAGTTCACCATAGTTGCTCCTTCCTCTGCTCCATCAACAGTGGTTAAGTCTGAGAGACAATAACTTTCCAACTAGTGATTGATTGGAATAGAGCTAGCAGACCAGGCATGACTTGAGTTATCATCTGGTGGGATAAAGCCCCTTTTCAGAAAGATGAGAAAACAGTCCCAGAGAGGTGAAATGACTTGCACAATGCAAATTAGAAGCCAAATTAAGGGTAGAACCCAGATCTTCTGGCTTCCAGTTCAGTGCTGCTAGGTTTTTCTTACTAAACCAATATAATAAAGAGCATAGAAGGGAAGACGAATAAAGTCTATTTTGGTCTCTGGTAGCCAGGGTAAGGAGAATGCTGTCACTTCTATGAGAAAACCCAAAGTGAACCCGGCTAATCAGGACCGTGCTTGGGAAGGGAGCAGGGGCATTACCTTTCAACACCAGAGGTTCTTTGCCTTCTCTCTTCAGGGACTCGAGGACTATGTGAAGTGGCTGGGAGGGCATCACTCGGCTTGGCTCATTGGTATTCTCATCATAAACTATAATTTCTTTGGAAAAGATCCTCTTGAAAGAGTCCTTGCCTTCCCTACAGGAAATCAAGTCTAGGACAGTGATCTTGCCCTGCTGCAGTCTCCGCCGGCTGATCTTATCGGCACAGTTAATGTGGACAGCTCCTTGGATGTGACTCTTGTTGTACTCCATGAAGGGCCTGCAGTCAATGATGACAGGACCCTGACTCGGCAGGTGACTCTTGCTGCATTTGGTCATCTTCTTTGCCAAGTCATTGGGGTAGATTATTTTGATGCTGGCTAGCTGCTTGGGGGTCCCTGACACAGGGCTGCCCACCCCACCTGATGGACTTAAAGAGCCTGTATTCTCATTATTGTTGACCATCTGGTTAGCAGGGCAGGTGGTAGAGGTTCCGATGGCAGTGGTGGTGGTGCCAGCGGCGATGGCTTGGGTTTGGGCCTGATTGTCCTTGTCGTAGGTTGCCACAGTGCAGCAGCTGGCACTGCTGCATCCACAATTCAGAGAGCGGGCAGAGCCGCTGGATGAGGGCATATACGTCAGATTCGCAGCCTTGAGGGACACAACGGTGGTGGCGATGACAGGAGGGTGGCTGTCACTGCCTGGGGCGGCAGAGCCAAGGTAGCTAGAGTCTAAACAAAGGTTGAGATCCTGAGGTCGGACGGGCCTAGACAGTGCCACTACTACCCTGTCGTCTAAAGGAGACGGAGGCATGAGGAGGCTGAAAACTGGCAATTCAAGAAGAACTCAAGACAGTCTGTAAAGAAGGGGAAGGGGGAAAGAAAGAATAAAGTCACATGACACAAAAGGCAGTCTCATCCAATCCCTAGGAAAAGCTGTTGTATCCTGCTGAGCAAAGTTGTCCTAGTTGTCCTTTATCATACCACTATCAAAACTTGAAACTCATTTTTATGTATTCAAAGAGGATGCAAACCTGAGGGCCCCAATCTATTTGGTTGCTAAGTCTAGGGTTAAATTTGGATGTAATGCTGTAAATGTTAATGAACAACCTTTCCTAGACCTACATAAAAGTTCAGCTGTAGAGAAGGTATAAGCACAAATAATTAGAAAAGTTGAAGACAGAAGGGAAGACTCTTAAGAGGGATCTATTCTGAACCTCAGCTCTTGGGAAGAAGTACACTGCAAACATCTGAGAAAGACCCGTTTGTCCACCCTTGCATGTTTGCCATTTAATTCCCTCACTTGCTTCAAAGGCAAAGGGATAACCAAGAGCACTGGCATGGTTCACAGAAATGTACAGCAGCTAAACATACATCAGGGTGGATGTCAACTTTCTGCAAATCAAAATAAAATGATCCCCTTAAGTGAATCTTCTTAACCTGGAGCTATTCTTGCCTTCCATTCTATTGAGGTCCTTTGAAAAGCACAACATAATCATTAAAACCTCACATATTTTCTTTTGGACTCTTATAAATTAATCTGCATTTCCCTTTTTGACTACTAACTAGTGTCCCAAAACGAAATCTTAAGCCATGAAGCCAGATCGGGAAACACCGACCCCAGCAAATCCATCACGCTTTGCTCCCCCACCTACCCCCACCCTCACTCCTGCCTGGAAAGGACAACTTGGGCTCTTCTCCCCTCTTCATCTTTCCGGCTGGCACAGACTGTGCATCCTAGATCTTCTCTCAATGGGAGGCAGCCACGTTGTATAAGGTTTCAATTCCATACAGGTAGATATCCCCCCTTCAAGAGTACTGATGCCATAAAGAGGGCTTCCCAATTAGCCTTTCCCAGTTGAAAGAGGCAGTGAATTGTTGCCCATGGGATCTATCTCTGATTTCAGAGTGTCTGCAAAAAGACAGCTCCTTCCTCCTGTAGGCACAGGGGCACTCTATGACCCGGGCTTGTTAACTCTTCTTCTATTAGGCATACTCACAGCAACGACAGCAAATCCCATGCAAGAACCACTCACCTAAACGAACTTTAAGAGCTATCTGGAAAAATGCCATCTATCATCTGTCTACAAGCGACCGTTCCATTCTCTGACATAGAACCAAAATGTCACAGACGGAATCCACACTCGCGCGCGCACACGGGGGCACGCACCCATCACGTCGGCAGATCTCCACCGACTCAGGTTTCTCTCACCCACCTTTGGATGGGAGCGAAGGATCCAACCCCTCCCTCCCTTGCGTAGTATTTTTTCTGAAGAGCGAGTACTATTCCAGAAACTATAACTGTTTCCAGGCTGGACCAAGTGGTGAAAGTCTTCGCTATTGTGTTACCTGGTAGGGCACGTCCAGGATCAACAGCCTATTTCTTTTGAGAGAGACGCATAAGGGTGTTCACAGAGACACACGCTGGGACCCCCACCTTCACACAGAGTGCGAGGCACACACACACACACGCACACACACACACACACGCACGGAGCGTATAGAGAGATCTGCATCCCTGCAGCACAGGGTCGGGCGTATATACTGCCCGTGAAACCATCCAGTCTGGCCCAGAAAAATCTCCCAGAGAAATACTGAGCTATCCCCTCTCCCTTCCGCCACTGGAGAGAAAATTAAGTGGTTAGAGAAGGCTTCTTCCCCACTCCTGGAGCACTTAACATACCCCCGCTCCCCCTTCACTCCTCGGCACACAGCGCGCTAATGAGCCCCGGGCATTTAAAACTGCAGCAAAGCATCCCAACAAACCTCATTTTTTCTTCGCCCCAAATCCAAGTAGACTGCAGAGAGAGTAAACGCACAGGGCAGCAGGAGCCAACAGCCGGAACCTTATAACCCTACCTGCTGTGGCTCCTCCGTCAGCATCGCCTCTGTATATTTCTGTCTCTCTCACATACACACACACACTCACACTCACACACACACACACGCACCGGCTTACACTCCTCCACCTCCAGTCCCGGGCTCTCAGGAGTAGTGGCGGTGACTTCCACTTACTTCATAAATAAGTGTAGCCCTCCACCATCTGGCGCTCCGCTTCAGCTATGGACTCGCGCATTCAGCCCCCATTCACTCGGCTTCATTGATCTCCAGCAGCAACATAGTTACTTTCTCTTTTGCTACACTGTAAATGTAAGGTTCTGAGGGGGCGGGCCCGCCGCCGACCGACGGCGCGTTGGACCAATAAAATTCCGGGGAAAGCCGACCGCTACCTCACAGAGCCCTGCGGCCAATGGGCAGCCTAGGGGGCGGGGAAGAAGGCGTGGCCTCGTCTCCTTAAGGAGGGCTTATCCGACGCGGCTCTGGGTCCTCGATGTTATAACACGGGCGGTGATGTCATTGGCAACCAATCAAAAACTTAAAAGAGCCAGCCGGGGCCGAGCGGAGCAGCTGCGCTCTATTTACATGTAAACCAAATCGGCAGGATGCAGTTAACCCTTTACCCGGCTGAAGCGCCCGCGGGCTGGACGCGCCGCTCCGCTAAAACTGGCTCTTCCCACTGGACGGGATCCTCCAACACTCCCTCCCCGGGGACAAACCACGCTCTCTATTTTTCCTCCTTACTATGGACGGATGATCAAAAGTGTCGGAGTAACTTTCTAAAGGAAAGAGACTGCGATCACCGCCCCTAGTGGGAAAGCCGGGTTCTCCCCGAGTCGCTCGAGGTGACTTGACAAACCCTAACCCAAGATTCGCGGACCTCGCCGGGTCGTCGGCGCTGGGACCCACGTGAGCGCGCAGCCAGGGCGACGCTTCTGCTCCGAGCCGCGGCCCAGGGCCACGCGCCGAGGGCCCGAGCTCGGCAGCCGACCGTCGCGGACAGGGAGACCCTTCAGCCTCGGCGCGTCCGCCTCCCGCCCGCCCGCAGAGGTCGCTGCCCCTCCGACTGCCCCGGCTTGACCGCCGCGCGCCGCCCTCCCGCACACCTACTTCGCCGCCTGGGTCACGCCCCTGCCGTCCCCAGGCTTTTCCACTCCGGGCTCGACCCGGAGCACTAAGGCGGCGCCACTGAGGGCTGCTCGGAGGAAGAGGCCTGAGTCGACGTCCGAGGCGACGAGGGACGCGCCCGGAGCAGCGGTGCGGAGGCCAATCCCCTGGCCGGGCGTCCCGGGCCCGCCACGCGCCCGCCGCGCCTCCGCGGCTTGGTCCCAGCCGGCCGCCGCCCCCTTTCCCGCCTGGCGCGCTGGGTCCCCGCGCGGTGCCAGCCGCTCGCAGCCCACCCGCCCCACAGGCCTCGGCCGCCACCCCTCCGTCCTGCAGGGCCCCTGCCGAGCCCAGGACCGCCAGCCCGGCGCTTCTGGAACGGCCTCAGCTGGCAGAAAACAGCCAGAGCCGAGTGCAAATAGCCAGACTGAATGGGGTGAGAGGAGCGTGGAGGAGGCCACCCCCGGCTCCCCTGAGTTTGGCCGGTCGGAGGTAGCTGGATAGCCGGCCTCAGCGCGCCCCGGGAGGACAGTGGGGGCGGGGCAGGCCGCCCTGTGCCAGGTCTGGAAAATATTCGTATCAGGGAAGCTGCAGGAAAGTTGCCCTGGCATACAAAAAGAAGTGGAGATGAACAAGCCCAAATGAACTGTGGGGAGTCTCCGTCCGGAACCCTAACGAAATAGAGCTTTTTCTTACCTCTGAGAGGAAGGGATAAAAAGTAAAATAATTGTAATGGAATAATACATTATGAGCGCTAGGGAATGTTAGGCTATCACTTTTCTCCCTTACCTGATTGGTTGCGGTTTGGAGGTCTACTTCAGACTCCAGGCCTGGTAGTATTCTAAGTAGCAGGGACATATTCATGTAATTGTTTTCAGGGCGGATCTGAAATCAGGAGGTGTCAGACCGTAGCTAGCGGGTCAGCTATGCTCAATGAGCTGTGAAGAGAAATCCCCTTGGGCACCTCCACTTATATACAGGCACATACCATGCAGCCCAGCTTTTCACACTGGCGTTACAACCGGCATCACGTGCATCTGATAGTCTTACATAGGAGAGGGTTTTGTGTAACCTCTGTCGACAAAAAGAGTCAAATTGTAAAATATTTGAAGAGATTTATTCTGAGCCAAATAGTGACCACGGCCTGTGACACAGCCCTCAGGATGTCCTGAGAACATGTGTCCAAGGTGGTTGGGGTGCAGCTTGCTTTTACACATTTTAGGGGGGCATGAGACATCAAATACATTTAAGAAATACATTGGCTTGGTCCAGAAAGGCTGGACGACTCCAACGCGAGGGTGGGTTTTCAGGCTTTAGGAAAATTTAAACATTTTCTGGTTGACAATTGGTTAAGTTTGTCTAAAGAGATCAAAGAAAGGAATATCTGGGTTAAGAGGTTGTGGAGACTAATGTTTTATTAAGCAGATGAAGCCTCCGGGTAGCAGGCTTCAGAGAGAATAGGTCTAAAATTTCTTATCAGATTCAAAGTCCACGTTGATATATAACAAGGCGTGTCGGAACCTCACTTCCCATCATAGCCTGAACCAGTCTCAGGATAAATTTTATAAGAGCCCTGGCTGAGAAATTAGTCCGTTCAGATGGTTGCGGGTGGGGGTGGGGCTTAGAATTTTATTTTTCGTTTACACCTCTCTCCATCCACGCGCGCGCGCACACACACACACACACACACACACACACACACACACACACACATTCACCCCCTTGATAATAGCAGAGTGCTTAGGGCACACCGTTTGGTTCTTAAATGTTTGAGGATCAACAGGTTATGGTCAGAAAACTTGGGTTCTGGGTAATTTCTATACAAATCAGAAAAGAACGTCCCAGAGGTTCTACCCTTGATCTATCTGGAGCTGGAAAGCTGCAAGCTTGCTTTTCCCTAAACAGACAATTACTGGAAAATTTTTCATTAACTCAGAGTTTGTGAGTTCTAATTCTGACTCTGTTATATCTCTTCATACAGTCTCTGTCTTCATTTATTTATCCACAAAATGGTAATACCCCAACTCAGAAGAAAAAGGGAATTCATTCAAGTGCTCACGGGGAAAAATCCCCTGCTGATAAAAGGCATTCAGTGGGAAAAAAAACATTAATTTGCTTGCTTTAGAAAATAAGGTGCCTATCTTTAAAGATACTTATGATCTATAAATGATGAATTCGTTGCTAACACCTCAATATCTAAGCCCAAAGTATAGATTTATACAATTGCAGAAGAGTTCTTAACAGCTTTTCCCACACAGCCCCAAAAAAGAAAAGTAATTTCAAAAACAAATGTAACTCTTGTAATGAGATGCTTGTTTTATTACTGTTTCAAACTAGTAGATTATTATAATTTAGTTGAGTAAGAATCTAAGCCATTCAAGCTGAAACATTGGGAAAGATGGCAAAATTCCTTATAATTTATCAAACCTGAGACACAGAATAGTTACCAGATTGTGAATAAAGTAATGTTATAGTTATTTTTTAAATTAGGCACCTCTAAGCTTATATTCAAGTCATAAGTGGTGAAAAAAAATCAGATTATAGATGGAATTTTTCCCCCATTCACTACTCTTCAAAACATCTTTTGGATAAGAAGAGGTGATTTTGTTCCTGTTTTTTAGTGATAAATGTGAAAATACTACACTGAAATACACTGCCCTGAGACTTAAATTCATAATGCTAGTCAGCTAATGGCTACAAACCTGATCTATATATCAATAACCAGCAGCAGAGCCTTAATGTTAGATTTCAGTCTCAAAGAAACAGTGAAGCATCTTCATTCAATTTGGCTGTTGTAACATGATTGTATTGAGTCATATATTTGCTTTCACAAATATCATATGAAAAATATTGACTGTTTCAGTGCAAAGTGCTATGTATTAAAGCCAAAAGATGACAATAACTTAGGCCAACATGTAAGATACTGTCAGGCCTCCAAATTCAAGCCTGGTCTTTACAGCCTTGGTGACCTGCACATACACCTCCTGATGATCTCCAGGGGCCAGAAAGTCTGAAGTCACCAGATGGCCACAAAGAGGAGTGAAACAACTAGTTCCTGCCTCAACTGGCAAAACACCCCCAACAACACTCTCCAGACTTAGGGAAGGGCTGGTAAGGGTTCCCTGAAGGAAAGAGCTGCTGTGGTCTGAATGTGTTCCCCAAAAATCATATGTTGAAACTTAATTGCCAATGTGACAGTATTAAGAGGTGAGGCTACCAGGCACAGTGGCTCATGCCTATAATCCCAGCACTTTGGGAGGCTGAGGGAGGCTGACCACAAGGTCAGGAGTTTGAGACCAGTCTGACCAACATGGTGAAACCCCATCTCTACTAAAAATACAATTAGGCATGGTGGCATGCACCTGTAATCCCAGCTACTCAGGAGGCTGAGGCAGGAGAATCGATTGAACCTGGGAGGCGGAGGTTGCAGTGAGCTGAGATCATACCACTGCACTCCACCCTGGCAACAGAGTGAGACTCTGCCTCAAAAAAACAAAACAAAAAACCCTCCAAAAATCAAACAAACAAACAAAAAAACGCACAAGAGGTGAGCCCTTTAGGAGGTGGTTAAGTCATGAGGGCAGAGGCCTCCTGGATGGGATTAGGGCCCTTACAAAAGGGCTTCAGGGAGTGAGTTTGTTTTCTTCCATTCCCCTGTGCGGACAGAACATTCATCTTCTCTGGAGGACACAGCAACAAGGTGCCATTGAAAGCATAGATAAGACCCTCACCAGGCAGTGAAACTGCAGGTGGCACCTTGATCTTGGACTTCCCAGCCTCCAGACCTCATGTGAGCAATAAATTTCTGTTCCTTTCAACTTCCTCAGTTTCAGGTATTTTGTTATAACAGCACAACTGGACTGAGACAGTGGCTACTGCTGTGGGAAAAAGAGGCAGGACCATGTGCTTGTCTCACTATGAGTTTGGACACAGGAGGCCTGCAGTTCTTTTTCACAAAATTAATGGGCAGCTGTGTTTGTGACTCAGGAAAAGGCTCTGAGCCATGTAAGTCTCTATTTCTATATTTTCCAGTATGGTGGTCATTTGACCATGTGTCAGCCACTTGAAGTGTGGTTAGTCAGAATTGAGATGTGCCATAAGCTTAAAATACACATTGGATTTTGAAAACTTTAAAGTGCAAAATGTCTCAGTTATTTTTATATTGATTACATATCGAATTGTTTATATTTTGGATGTGTTGACTTAAATAAAATGTTATTAAAATTAATTGTACCTGCTTCTTTTTGCTTGGAGTAGAGCTCTTAGAAAATTTTACATGGCTTATACAATTTAAAGATTGTTGTTGAACAATGCTATTCTAGAAGCTGTAACTGAACTTTCGATTTGAGGTCTCTTTGATGCCAAAGGTTTCAGAACCACAGACTACTGAATCTGGAAGAGACATGAGAACCTATTGAGCCCAGCGGTTCATAAACTGTATTAGGATGACCCAAAGGGAGAAAAGACACCAGTGCAAATGGGGGCAATAGAAATGGGAGCAGGGGTGAACTGGTGGAGTCCTGTGACCACACTCTTGTCCCCCACACCTCCACGCTTGATAGATGCAGATACAGCTACGGATAGATATTTGTCTTATTCATGGGATTCCAAAGTAAAATTTCAGTTAAAGAAAGGATTCTGGTTGGGATATTTTTGTTGTGGTGGTTCTGTTTTTTTTGTTTTGGATTGGTTTGGTTTGTTTCTTTGTTGTTGTTGTAGTCGTTGTTGTTTTTGAGACAGAATCTCACTCAGGCTGGAGTGCAGTGGCACAATCTCGGCTCAGTGCAACCTGTGCCCTCCTAGTTCAAGTGATTCTCCTGCCTCAGTCTCCCAAGTAACTAGGACTACAGG